CCCCCCGACATCGGAGGAAGCCCTTTGAGAGCTCCGAAGGCAAAAAGGCAGGGAGAAAAGGCGAATTTCCAGCCCTTTCTCCATGCCTTTTTTGTCTTCGGAGCTCTCAAAGGGCTTTCCGCCCAACATCAGAGGAAGCCCTTTGAGAGCTCCGAAGGTGCTGATCGCCTTTCTCTCCCGCCCCACAGCTTCTCCCAACGGGCTGCTCCCGATGGCTTTGCAGATCACCTTCCCACCCACCCCCACATGTGGCTTCTCTGCTGCCGCAAAAGCCATCGGGAGCAGCCTTTCGGAAGAAGCTGTGGGGTGGGAGAGAAAGGTGATCCAGCCTTTCTCCCCCCCCTCATGCTCGGAAGAACGGACAACACTTGCGTGCCCTGTATTTTTTATTCAGTCAGAACGGATTAACGGGGTTTCAATGCATTCCTATGGGAAATTGACTTATGAACTTTTCAATTTACGAACGCTGTTCCGGAACGGATTAAGTTTGTAAGTCGAGGATTGACTGTATACATATTTCCATAGTGTATTTACCAACACTAGCCATTAGAGGAAGACAATACTATGCATCTTGCTTGCTCTTTTAATGTTTCTCAGCATCCATGGGGCTGAGGTGGTGGAACTGATTCCCCTGTGGATACTGCAGTCCTACTCTATAGTATTTTCAATATCACAAATTTGTCAGCACTTGAGGAAGCACTCATTCAAATGTTTATGTTTTTGAAAGGCGCTACTGTTCAGGGCTTGAGCCAAAGCAGAAGAACATTCACATCAAGAAAGTAAGGGTTTGATATATATTATTTTGAAGTCAATATTGTGAAAAATATGGAAATGAATACGCAGTTTTGGGCAAACTCACAGTTCCTGTTGTCTTCTGCAATTCAGTTGTAGAGACCACTGCCTGTAGTTCTTGCTTATCTACTAGTGCATTTAAAGTGGCCTGAAACGAAAGAAAACAAACACAATACAACATTCCTCTTAAATAAATGAGTTGATTTCTCTACTGCTACTAACAGCAATGAGCATATTATATTACTATTAATTTAAAACTAGTGGCATATCTCAATGTATAGCACTTTGTTCAATACTCTTGTTGTTACATGCTGTTAAGTCACTTTTAACTTATGGTGACCCCAGGAATTAATGACCTCCAAAAAAGTTCTATTATTAACAACCATGGCTTAGGTCTTGCAAACTCAAAGCCGTGGCTTCCTTTATGGTGTAAAACCATTTTGTGTGGTATCTTCTTTTCCTACAACCTTCCACTTTTCCTGGTATTATTGTCCTCTCTCCCTATGGTGGTATGTCCAAAGTACAATAGTCTCAGTAGCAGCTTCTAGGGAGAGTGGAGGCTTTACTTACGGATCTATACATTTGTCATTCTGGTGGTTCTGCAATACGCATAAAACTCCCCTTCAAAAATATTTTGAATGAATAGATTATTTTCCTGTTGTCTTTCTTCATTTTCTAGCTTTCACATCCATACACAGTAAATGGGAATGCATAATATAGATAATCTTGGCCTTAGTTTCCAGCAACACATCCTTCCACTTAACAATCTTTTAAAATATCTTCATAGCAACCCTTCCAAGTCTTAGCCTCCTTCTGATTTCTTGATGGCAGACTCTGTTCTGACTGATGGTCAAACCAAGGAACAGAAAATCTTAAACAATTAAAAATGTTTATTTGGCAACATTTAAGTCCCATATTGTTTCTGTCTTCTTCACATTCAGGTATAATCCGGCTTTTGCAGTTTCCTCTTTCACCTTTATCAGTACTGTAGTTGTTTTAAGTCACTACTATTTTCTAGCAATCATGCTGTCATCTTCATATCTTAAAATTATTGATGTTTATTCCACTTATTTCAACTTCTTCCTCTGATTCTAATTCACCTTTTCATATGATATGTTCTGCATACAGACTGAACACACAGGGAGATAACATGCAACCTTGTCTGACACCTTAACTACCTACCAACCATTTTGTTTCTCCATATTCTCTCCTGACAATAGCTTTACATAGAGAAAACTGCTTCCGCAAACATGTTGAATGTAAAATTCCTTCTACTGCACATGAATGAAAAATGACATTATATGACTCTTTGAAATTGGGGATAGGACAAGTGTATTGCAACATACCTGTGTGCAATGGGAGATAAATCCATAGACAAGAAGATGCTCATGATGAAATAGAGACTGTATGTGAGCAGGAGCATACATCAGTGTTGGTCTGTCTGCATCAAACTTTTGCCACTTAATGGAAACTGCGCTGCATCCTGGGGAAGACATCCTATCTGCTTGACACTTTACCTAGACACAAGGATGAAAAGAGAACATTAACATGAGAACTTTTCTCATAGAACACATGATTAAGTCCTTTTTTCTTACAGACATTAACACAAAGCCTTGAATTAATAAATTCAATAGAAGAAAACTTTCTATGCTAAACAGATCAAACTGCTATAGTCCTTTTTTCTTACAGACATTAACACAATGCCTTGAATTAATCAACTCAATAGAAGAAAACTTTCTTTTTCTATGCTGAACAGATCAAACTGCTACTGTGAGACAGAATGCAAGAAAAGATTTGCTCTGTAGAAACATATGCCCACTAGTAGAAGGACAGAGAGGTTCTAGGAAGCTGCCTTACACTTAAGACCAGAAACAACAATTCTTAGATGTGAAAGTATATGAACACTGGACAAAAATGAGTGAGGGTGTAACTACACAGAGGGGGAAATCCAAATGGATTTCTTGCAAAGTCACACATGGAAGTTGGGTTTCTCTGTTGCTCCCACCAGCCACAGTCAAAAGAAAGGGGACATGAAATCGGTCTTGTATGTAGCTTGCTAACCATTTGAATCTTCTCCCCACAATTAATGCTGGGATCTACTTGTTCTCCCTTCCCCTGCTTTCCCCTCCTATTTTCTTACCTTTCCTTCCAAGACTTCCTGTCCTAGTGTTAGAAGACCTTGACGATTAAAGAGGGGGAGGGAGTAAGGAATCAGCAGAGAGGCAGGAGAAATGTTTCAGTTCAGCTTTTGTTCCAGCTTGTTAAGGTAGCTCTGCTTTAGCCATCAAGATCTGCAGCAGGCACAGTTAGAGCTACCATAAAACATCCTTCTGTCTATTCCTTATTCTTTTTTCCCTTTGTTCACCTAGCTGTCCTAGTGCTAAATTAGCAAGCCTTTAAAAGAAAAAATATATATAAAAAAGAAAAATTGAGAGAGAAGGGAAGATTAAAGTTGACTCAAGCAACAAGTGTGAGGAGAAGAATCAAATAGCAGTCAGTTCTCACTGTCCTGCCTCTCTCACTGCTGCTGTGGCTGAGTGCAATGGCTTCACACAGAACTGCTACAAACCTCCTCATGTTGTTTCAAATGGTCATACTGCCTGAACCAATGTGAAGGCATTCAACTGCAAAAAAAGCAGAAGCCTTATCAGCGAAGGGGAAAAAAAGCGCTACAGACTGGAGTTGGTGGAACTGTGGGCTGCTTCTCATTGACTTTCACATAATGTAGTCAACAGAAAATAATGTGAATCAGAACGTTCCAATCGCACAGCATTTCTCACATAATTTGTTAATGTAATTGCACCCTGAGACAGCCATTCAGACTTCAGAGGAATCTCATTCTCAGGTTCCGAGGGCCAATTACCAAACAAAGCAAATCTCCTAGTGTAATCAAAGACAGCATTGTCGATCTACTCATGGGCTAACTATACCATTTGTTTTTAATCTTTGGCAGAGTCTTGGTCTTTTTTTGCTAAGGTGAGGAATTCATCAATTTATTAGGCATATATCCCGCCTTTCTCCAGGAGGGGAGATTTTAACAAACGTAAGGTTCATGTACCATAGAGACATCAATAGCTGAGTTTATGGTGCCTTGCATGACATGCAACAAAACTTTTCTACAGGGACCAGATGCCCACATTTTATTAATTTTTATTTATTAAACATACATTGCACCTTTCTGCAAAAATGGAATTCATCAGAACACAGGATGTCACTTTTAAAGTAAGAGGAAGAAATGAAAACTTGTCATTCTTACCCAAATAAAACACTTTTCAGAATAGCTGACTTGTCTGTGACTACAAAAAATAATGTTAAAATATACTTGCCTTTCTTTCCCAGTTGTACTTTGATTTTGCATCAAAATATTCAAAGGCTCCTGCTCCACACTGGGATAAAGTTCTCAGCATGTGGCGATTCACTGTGGAGCTAATATAATGGGTACTTTTAAAAGGTTGCAGAAGAGAATTAAACAGACACTATGTAATAGTTCACTGTGTCTTCTGACCTGAACAGACTTCAGCTGGGCAACAAAGCTGAGTTAACAGCGGAAGCTAGCCAAAATGTTTGGGAGATCCCATTATACACAAACATAATAACAGCCGTGCAGGATCAGATCAAAAGGCCAATCTAGACCAGCATTTGGTTCACATAGTGACCAACTGGTTGCTTAAGGGAAACCCACCAGAACGTAAGGATAAAAGCACCCTCCTCCACATGTTCCCCTGTGACTAACACTGAGAAGCCTATTGCATCTAACATTAGAGACAACATACAGCCATCATGCCTGCATATTTATATATTTTATGATTTGGGATATTTGAATAAATTACTTAATATTCTTAAACTTTTATTGAACCCAGCTTGCTGGGGGGGCAATGTGTAGCCTGTATAATTAAAATTGTAAACCGCTCGGAGAGTGCTTGTAGCGCTATGGGGCGGTATATAAGTCCAATCAATCAATCAATCAATCAATCAATCAATCAATCAATCAATAAGAATAAAAGCACCCACCTCCACATGTTCCCCTGTGACTAACACTGAGAAGCCTATTGCATCTAACATTAGAGACAACATACAGCCACCATGCCTGCATATTTATATATTTTATGATTTGGGATATTTGAATAAATTACTTAATATTCTTAAACTTTTATTGAAAAATAAATCTATCAAGGTTGCAAATTTCAAGCATCAGCAACACCAATTAAAAAGATTTCAAGTAGAAACCAGATAAGATCATCACTGCCAGAATGAAGAGCATGGAGCCAGAAAGACTATTTTCAGGGATATTTGTATTTTTATATACAATATAAGAATAAATCCCAGGTAGCCGGCTCAAAGTTGACTCAGCCTTCTATCCTTCCGAGGTCGGTAAAATGAGTACCCAGCTCGCTGGGGGGGCAATGTGTAGCCTGCGTAATTAAATTGTAAACCACCCAGAGAGTGCTTGAAGTGCTATGGGGCGGTAGATTTCAAGTAGAAACCAGATAAGATCATCACTGCCAGAATGAAGAGCATGGAGCCAGAAAGACTATTTTCAGGGATATTTGTATTTTTTTCTCTAATCAAGGAAGCGAAGCAAATCCAAAAGATGCATGTTACCATCCCACAAAATTCAATGTGATTCACCCAGGACTGATCCAGCAGGGCTCTTTTGTTCTAACATTTAGAGCACGCCAATAATTTAATTTTCTTATCCTGTAGCCCTCTGCTTTATTGTAACACGTGTGGAGAGGGGAAATCAGCTTTATAATTCCTAGTCATTATATTTTTCAGAACAGGAAGTAAAAACATACACAATATAAGAATATTTTAATGCACAACTGCCAAAACTGTCACATGACAACTGATTGCCTGTTGGTGGCGTTGGCCACCTAAGGCGAATGTCTCCTCAGAATAAACCCAGAATAAACTCAACATGCATCATAATTTTCCTTGCACACTTACTTAATCTGCACTTACCCAACTCCACATGTGAATATTCTAGTGTGTTTTGCATTCTCCTTCACGATCTGCAGGGTGGTGCCTTCATTCTGAATGTGCCCATCAGATATAAGAAGAATGTTGCGCTTGCCTTCAGAAGGGTAGAGCAAACTCAGGTACTGCAAAGTCTTCCATAAATCTGAGTTTCCCATTGTTGCTGTAGCAGACTAAAAAGAAGTTAACAGCAAAGAGTAGTTTTATATAGTGTACAATTGCCTTATTGTTAGCTAGCTAGTGATCAGATGCTGACAGTGGTTCTTCATTCCCATACTCAAATCTTGCTCATTAATTTGGTATTACTATTGTTGCCTTTAAATGTAGTATTTTTAATGATGAAAGCTGCGCTGGGTCCTTTTTAAGGAGAATGGCAGTGGTAAAAATATTTTAAATCAAATCAAATAAATTGGCATGTCATATAAACACAAATATGGCTCTAGCATTAGCCTGAGGTTCTGCTTCCATAACTGGAAAATCACTCTAAAGTTGGAAAGTAATTCCCACATTCTTGTACACTGAATGTAAAGTCAGATAAAATAGCTTGATACAGACTGTGCCTCAGGGATTTGAAGAGTTACTTCTTTGGGAATGAAACCAAGATTCCCCAGCCAGTATGGCTAGTGGCCAGTGGCATCTTTGTTGTTTCCCTAGAGCAGATTAACGTGACCACCCCCTTGACAATTTTCCAAGCTCTGTCTGATTTACCCATTTAGTGCTTTCTGCTATGATTAGTTATAGAACAACAGAGTTTTAATAGGAAGAACCAAGGATTGAATCTGTCACCTACTGCATGCGCAGTATATAATCTATCAGTCAACTGTACACTCCTCAGTCAGATAATGGCAGTGGGGATAAAGCAAGAAGAAGCAACAGGCAGGTAATGATACAGCTCTGGTGTCTCCTGGTTAAGTGATTGTTTAAGCTACATTTTGGGTCTCCAGGGTGATGTCTTGAAATATGATACGATACCTGTGTTTGGGCCTGGAAGAAGGATCTATTTGGTATGTGCTTTATTGCTGAAGAATTTCTGCCACTATATGAGTGTTTCATACAATAATTTGATGAAGCAGCCCTGCTAAATCTAAGCATATGTGAAGCTGACCAGCAGGGGCATTATTTGGAACCTGTTTAGGAAGTAAGGATATAAAGGACAGCAGCCTGTTAACTTGTACCACTTGCACAAAGGTCCACTATGTGTGTTGATGGGATTTTCTGGGCTCTTGCATAAAGACATATCCAGAACGTCCTTGCGCAAGCATAAGCCTATGATCTCCAGCATGTTAAGTGGAAAGACGGAAATTGTGTGATGCCGCCTGCTGCAGTTGGACACCACCCTCATACTTCTTACTGACAAGAATATATGCATTTTAAAAATTTCATTCTGGAATCTGTGTAACCCATCTTCAAATGCAAAATGAGAACATGAATATCTATGTAAGACATCAATTGATATGCTTTGAAAAATGGAAATGTTGCTACACCTAAGCAAAACACTTTTATATTTTGGTACATTACAGCAGACTGATGGCAGCAAAAAACCCCAAAAAATTATCACTTACTTTGATAAACTCTTGTAGAGCTGCGTAATCCACTGTGGAATCTTCAGAACAGAAAGGAAATTCTACAAAATCTATATAACAAAAGAACATAAATGCCTTGATAAACCGGATTCCTTACAAGAAATGGGAACATTAGAGTAACTAGGATCATTAGATACACAGGACAATCCTATAAATGTCTGCTCAGAAGTCCCTTTGAGTTCAGTGGGAACTCCCAGACAATAGGTATAACATTGCAGGCTCAACTGGAAAATGGTTCCAATAACATTTTAATCAGGCCAGTCTCTGAAGAAAGGCATTATGAGTTTGAGCTAATCAACTTGTATAAAATGTTAAATTCTGAGCCAGGATTTGGACAGCTCAATACATTTCATGAGCATGTACTTGTGCTCGTGGGTGTATATTTGAATTGTATTTTAATCATTTTATCTTTTAATGTATTTTAATTGTTGTAAGCTGCCCAGAGACCTTTGGGTAGAGTGGGCGGCATATAAGTTAAATAAATAAATAAATAAATAAATAAATAAATAGATAGATAGATAGATAGATAGATAGATAGATAGATAGATAGATAGATAGATAGATAGATAGATAGATAGATAGATAAACTTGTATAAAACTGCATAACCCACTATATTACGTTCAGTCAGGCTACCTGCTGAAATTAAAAAGGACAGGCTCTCTTAGATATATACAGTACTCAAGCAAAACCTGTAATGGCAAGAAGACAAAATTGTTTCTTTAAAAAAAAGAAAAGGAAAAAAAGAAAGGTGTTTTACTTGTGCCAAATTTGATGACACTGAGTTTTGTTGCAAAGCGACATGAATCTAGAGCTCCTAAGGCAATCTGCTTGGCTTGTTGGATTTCTGATCCTGCCATGGAATTAGAGCAATCAAGGCAGATAATAATTTCCCCGTAGATGGTACAAGAGCCAACTGATGCTTCAAATTCTGGCTGAAATACAAGCATGCATGCCTTAAGGAGAAAAAAAAAGGAGTATATTAGTGAAACCAAGAAGTTAAAGAATCAAGAAAAACAACACTCATAAATACACAGTTTAAAGGCCATGTTGAAGAGATGTTTCTTGACATCTTTCCTAAAGATACAGACAGCGGAACAATTTGCAGTTCTCCATTGTATAATTTGGGAGCGACACAGGAAAAGCTTATTTATTCCTGGCTGTCAAGGAGGTCTCTGCAAACTGTCAGTATCCAAAGAAGTGCCTCTCCTGAGGATCTCAGTAACTGGACAGGTTTGCAGCAAGATAGTCTGTTCTTCAGATAGGCACGTCATAAGCAATTTATGGCCTCAACACACAGTTTTTTAAAAAGCAAATGGCTCACAAAAGCAGGAGTAGCCATATGTTACAGTATTTGCCGGTGTATAAGGCAACTGGGAGTATGAGACTCCCCCCAACATTCCATACCGTATTTGCCGGTGTATAAGGCAACTGAGAGTATGAGACGTCCCCCCAACATTCCACCTCAGAATGTAGTTTGTTATATACTTGCTGTATAAGACTACCCCCTCTTCCGCATGCGTGATTCTGCTTTGGCTGCATCATGGGGAGAGTTCCTTTTGCCCCTTTTGGTTCCTTTTCGGAGGCAGCAGCCATTTTGAAGAGGCGGCAGTCATTTTGGAGAGGCAGCAGCCATGTGGTTGTATCTCAAAATGGCTGCCGCCTCTCTGCTGTTCCGACAGTCAGCTGTTCGGCGCTAGAGTCAGGCTGTTCCCAGGTTAGGAGCGGGGCTCTACTGGGTCTTACTACCAGGTAAGTGACTTTACTGGGAGAGAGGGAGGGTTTGCTCGACATGCACCCGGCATACAAGACGACCACCCCCACTTGGAGGCATGTTTTTCAGGGCCAAAAAGTCATCTTGTACGCCGGCAAATATGGTAAATTGATGTATTGGTTTGTCTTTCCCCACTCAATGCCCAGGTTTCAGAAAGAGGTTTTCCTGTACCTCAACAAGACATTCCAGAAATTGAACTTTGATTTTTCTGCATGAAAATGTATACACACATCAAAGGTTGCTTACTTTCCTCCCTCACAATAGCGAGATTTCCTCCTACCGGCATCTTGAGACAAGAGATCTTCTTCAGGTAGTATGTGAGGGAAATGGTGGCATTTCCATGCCAATCTTAATTTTTAAAAAAAAACCCAAGCCTATTAAATGCAAAGATGCATTTCATGCCATGTTTGGTTTAACTGTAACATTGGTCACTGATCTCTTTTTGTTGTGCTTAGTTCTCATTTATACAACAGGTATGTTGTTTTATTATTTTATTAAGCCTCAGTCTTGATTGTTCTAAACTGAGGGCTGGATAGTGTTTTGAGTAAAGAAAAATACAAGAAAGAAAGAACAGAAAAAGATTAAAATTACCTCAGTATTTTTGTCCGGATGTTTTTCTACCCACATTCTGGGTAAATGTACATCACCAATCAGGATTTCTAAAGCAAAGCCACTGATGTCTAAGGAACTACCCTCAATAGTACGGACCACAGCTTTACAATCAGTTTTCTGAATTGAAGAAATTGGGAGAATAGAAGAAAATAAAGGTTGCTCTGCAACACAAATTATTTGCTTATAAATTTTTGACTTATAATTTCCCCAAGATGGCTTACACCTTCTGTTTGAGGGCAGATGCTGCTAAGCAAATGATAGTACTCATATACTAAATCTTACAAATAGAGGGAATGATTCCAGGAAGAATGCCATGTCCCAAATGTTGCAGAGTATATTTTATAGTGAAACTGCAGAGGGTCCCATTTAAGCCACAAGGTTCCTTCAGGATTTTCATTCTGTTTTGTTTCATCTTTCTATAGTTGCATGTCATCCTGAATATTCAGAAAGTCAGAATGAACATTAGCCAAAGGTGTGTACATCTGTGTGTATATCTTAATATTAATGTTAATTCCAACTTTCTGAATATTCCAGCTTTCTGAAACAACAGAAGACAGCCTGAAATTCCTTAAGATACAGTCTAGAGCAGTACAGTAGGACCACTGTATCCATGGGATCAGTATCTGCAGTTTTACTTATCCTTGGTCTGAAAATATTAAAAATATTAAGACAAAAACAAACCCACAATTTTCACATGTATTACCAGACCCAGCCAATAGAGAGAGCTAGACTGTGCTATGAATACTTGTTAGTAAAGCACACAGTGTGGTATCTGGCACCCTCTTGTGGCCAGTTCTGATAATGCATGTGAAAATATTTTTCTGGTTTTTCCCCTTTTACACACACACATACACGCACAAACACACACACTTTGTTATTATCCATGGTTTTCAGTATCCATGGAGGGCCTGGAACCTATCTCCAGCAGATATGGGGGCACTATTGTATAAAAAAGTTTACACACACAGAGTCTGCAGCAAGCTTGTTCTCCATATAATTGCAAATGCCTCTTTTAAAAACACAGATGTAATTTTGCTGACAACTTCCTATATGCTGTTACTCCTCTTCTGAAAAAATAGTACCACGAAGGCTTCCTTACCTTTGTTTGAAGCTGATGTGTCCAGCTTCTGATGCAGTTAATTTTGAAGGGCATTTCAATGGACATTTCCAAAGAGAATGCACTGTTGAAAGATAAAGAAAAATGACATGAGATACAAACATACATACTATTATTTTCTAGAGGGATGGGTTCGTCTTAATTCTCTTGCAGCAAAAAGTCTAATAAGTGGGCTAAATAGCATTAACAGCCTAAATCTTGGAAATAGTGTACAAGTATAATTTCTTCTAACACAGCATGTTAGGACTAAGTGCTGACACCTAAAAACTACAGAGAATCTTAAATTGTCTTTTTACAACTTTAAAAGCAATTGTATTCCATTCCATGGCAGAAGATAGATGTTTTGGTCGGAGACTTAGGAAAGACAACTTTTAAAAAGCATCTAGTTTTCTGTTAAAAATTAAATGAATGTGCTTACCCAGGCTTTAGTCCTACTTGCTTGACTGGAACTTTCCATACTGAATCCTAGTTAAAAGAACAAATATTTTAAATGTTCATATAGTAGCAATGAAACTTAACATTGCTGAAGACAGCAATGTTTATGTGAGAAAATACCTTGTAACTTACTCAATGTAATTGTTTTATCCTGTGCTATAAGGATTTAAGAAAGTAACAAGAAGAACTTAAGTAGGAAGAACTATTATATGCTTGCTTCTTTTTAAATATAATCTATTTTGGAAATGTTGCTAAAGCCCACTACATCAATATATAAACCAAAGTAAGCACGGAAAATGTGAATGGATCCACTGTTGAGTCACACCCAGGAAGTCAGGTTTCCCTGAGGGAATTTGCTTTAGCTGACCACAAAGGAATTGACTGGAATTACCCAACAGCCTTGTTTGCAGCTTGTTAAGGAAGCTCTTCTGTGATCATCCAGATTTGCAGGAGAAATAGTTAAAGCAGAGATACCTCAACAAGCTGGAAACAAGGCTCATTGATAACTTCCTCTTCTCTCCTTGCTATCTCCTCACTTTTTCCCCCTGTTGCTCTCCAAGGTACCATAGCGTTAGAGCAGCCAGTCTTTTAAAAAAAAGAAGAAAGAAAGAAATGGAACGGGAAAGACTCAGATACCGGGTTTGGGAGGAGAGGATTAAAATGGTAGCCAGTTTCCTCAGTAACTTGCTTCAGTCACTGATGTAGTAGCTGGGTAGAAGGTTAGAGACAGAATGGGTAGAAACCCCTCCACATCAGCTCAAGCAGTCACAGTGGCTAAAACAATGCAAATGCATTTACTGTCCAAAAAGCTTCATCAGCAAAGGAAAAAAAATGGATTAAGGAAGAAGGACTCCAGGATGATTCAGACCGACCTGTATATCATGTAGTAAACAGAAAATAATGCAAATCTAGTTGTTCCACTCCCAAAGCATTTCCTACACTATTTCTCAATATAGTCACACCTTAAGATGATTTAACTAATGTATTGAATTGGACTTGGGAACCTTGAATGACCTTTTAATTTCACTGGAGGACTCGGGACTACTCGCATGCTCTCAATCTTCTTGACATCATAGACATCTTGTGACAATAAAATGGAGATGAGGGGAGACACATATATCCATGTGACAACAACAGAGGGAAATTGTGATACATATACAACTAAAAAATAATGCAATAAAGCAATACAGTCATACTTTCAAGTTCTTGGTCCATTTAGAGCTGTACACCTGGTTAAATGTAAGCAGACTCTTATGCCATAATTGGGAAACACATTTGCACTGACTTCACAATAATTGATTCTGCAGAAAATTTGACAGACCCCATCCTGAACCCCATCCTCCAGACAGTTTGACGGTGAGGCATCTCAGGAAAGAACACCAACCTGTGTGTTTTCATTCAATGCTTTGTTTTGTTGCCAAGGAGCCACAGCAGCTGGCAGGTGAAACGAAAGGCATCCGTTCTCGAAACTGAGTTCCGTGACATAAATGATTTTGATGAGCACCTTGGTTAAAGGTGGCAAGTTCCCAACAGAAACTGTAAAGATGTCCTAGCAGAAAAAAATTTAAGTGTTCATAAAAAACACATTTTTACAAGCAATAACAGATAGACCGTTTATTTCCAGACTAAAGTAATATATGGACACATATGATCTGGGCTTGTTTAAAAGGACATTGGTTTTGGGATTGAAATTACAGGTATCACATGTATTAATGCACTACTGGGGAAATCTCTGGTAGTTCTGGACATTGATTTGCTCTTAATTATATTCCGGTCTTATGGGTTTCTAATGAAGGGATAATGAAAGTAGACTTTATGAGCCCTTCTGGTGGCTAAGAGACTTATGCTTCAAGCATGGAAGGATAAACATCCACCATCCACTACCATAATGGTTAGAGGATCTGTTAGCACTAGCTGTATTTGAACAAGTGTCATAGAGATGCTAATTTCATGAAGACATATGCCTGGAAATCCGGAAGGCCTACACTAATTTACATGCATAATATGAGATGTATGTACTGATAGTTACAACGATATTGTACATTTATAATGGTGGTTTATAGTGAGTACCAACATTATTATATTTACCATTTTTTTAGTTCAATTTATTTTTTTAATGTCAAATCTGCAAAAATAACAAGAAAAGTGAATAGGATATGATCATGAGGTAAAATGAGGGCTCTGAGAATGCTCCCAAAGTACTATCTCAGTGACAGCTAAAAGGGAACCGAGAATTAGTTACAGGGTGGGGAGAATGCATAGCAGGCAGAGTGTAGAATATTAGATTCTAGACCAGGCTTGTCCAACCTGCGGCCTGAGGGCCGCATGCAGCCCAGGTCAGCTCCTAATGCGGCCCAGTGCAATTTTTTATTTTTTTAAAAGTTTCAAGTTACACTGCGGGTGCTTGCGGCCGGAATGCGGCTGGGTCACATCACAACGCTGGGGGGGAAGAGGGAAGGAAGGAAGGAGCAGGAGGGGAGGGGAGCTGTGTGACTGCATTGCACCATCCCCCGTCAATAGGTGGACCCCCTCCCGGCCCCATAATGCTGCCGGAGTTGAAGCTGACAGCCTCTGCTGTCTGAGATCGCAGCTGCCGGTAAGCGCACTTGGAGCAGGGCTGCGGAGGATGGCTAGGGCTGCCCACCCCTTGCGGCCCAAACCAAATTTATGTGCAGCCCAAACCAAATTTTCATCTTCTAATGTGGCCCAGGGAAGGTGAAAGGTTGGACACCCCTGTTCTAGACTATTCTGAAGGTCTCCATGCAGGTGCGGAGGAAACACAAATGTGTAATTGACAGAGACCATGAAGAAGAAACCAAATTTGAGGCCTATGCAGATTTCTGCAACTCACCACAGATGGGGAATCCAAATGACAACTGCTTGCCTTCCTTGGTACATTTATCCCACTTGTCATGACAACAAATTTCTGTGCACCTGTTATTTGCAGTAGACGGCATTTGCTTCAGGTAGTAAGGCTGCAAACCCTTAACCAACATCCTCTTCCACATTTACTGGAATTAAGACAAGCACACAGACCCTACTGCAGAAACTGCAGCAGCAACCTGATGAAGTACTAGTTGAACAGGGGACCTCATCAGGTCACCACAGCAGCTTCTGCTGTTCTCTACATGTAAATATTAAGCAGGGTACTGGCCATAATGTCTATGACTTTGGAAAATACAGGTTTTACAGCATTCTGTTCAGACACCTGGGATACTTCCAGACAAAGTTTGGATTGAGCAGCCACCCTGCTTCATTCCTGAAATTTTCCAGGACATCCAGACAGCATTGTCTTCCATTCGTAACCTTCTTGTGTTTTTCAACTGCTTCTTCTGCCTTCCTTCATACCATTAAATGTCAGTTAAAGGGAGAAAGGGAAAACGACTACTCAGTGCTACTGACAGGTAACACTGAAAACCCATCAGTCTCAAAGCACTTTGACCAGGTTTCATAAAATTAATGGACCCCAATGTCTGTTGACCTTGTGTCCTTCTTTAACAAATGTTCACAGTCCACTTACAGGTGCATCCTGATCCATCAGATAAGCTCCATCTCCTTGAATGATGGCTTTTCTGTACTGTCGGTGCGCCTCTTCTTTTTCTTTAACCTGGTAGCATTGTTTGAAAAACAAGGTCATTTATTATACACAACATCAACCAACCAACCACTCCTCAATCATTTAATCTGGTTCAACACTTGCACAGAAAATGTGGAGAAACTGGAATATCAAAATGGTATTTTTCCTATTTAGTGGGATGATACACATAAACACCTTGCTAAGCAGTTACCAAGGAGTCACTTCTTCATAAACGGTTTTCAAATTATCTTGTATAATTAAGGGCACAGTGAAAGACCAGAAGTGCAGCCTCAACGACTGCATCATTGCTGAATTCACACACCACATAATTCTCTCTCATAATCAAGAGAAGAAACCATTCCCGCAACCCTCGTTCATCTTATGCCAGCAGACATTTCACATCTTTGTCCTCATCACTAACGTCTGAAATAAACCAATAAATAAAGCATCAGGACTTGGCAGAGTGGAATAGCTATCTGAAGTAATGTGATGGATCAAGGGCTCCTTGAGTCAAAGTACAAGGAGAGTGATTTCATCCGCGACACACCCTCTGGCTCCCTTGTTTTCTGTGAGTTTAACTGCTATTATAATAACAGATGACTTTCCTAGCAACAGTATATTGTTGTGAGCTACCCCTATTATTCTGCGAAATATTTGCAGGTAGCTTAGTGGTTGTTTTTCTTTATTATTATTTGTATTTTTAAGCAAAACACAAACAAAAAACACACAGAGAGAAGTATAAACAATACTTGCTAACAAAAACATAACAAATATGATCATAACTCAAATATACAGTGTAACTGACCGTCATCAGGGATATACAATATCTTTAAATATATCTTCATCAATATATTTTGTCTTAATTTATATCTGGTAACTTTTAAAAGTGGAATTACGATCCACTAACATTAAAAAAGAGCTGCTCTCCACAGAGGTTTTTTTTTATACTGTTTTGGAGATATGGATCACCACAGTTACCTATATTTCAGGTTTTCTTTGATCCAGGGCATGGCTATGAAGACTTGTCAAAGTGAGTGCCTACACTTCAAAATTTCCCATTACAGTACTAGGCATCGAAAAACACCTGGAGCCCACCAAGACGATTTTCTTGAGTTCACTCTATTACTTTTCTAACACCAGGAATGAAATGGAGTGGATGGATCAAGGCCTATGGCAGGAGAGTCAGCAGCATGACATTCTCAGGGGGAATACAGAGGAGGTGCCATGCAGGGCTCTTATCAGCCAGGAGCTCACAACAACCTGGTTGTATCCTTCCTATGTATTTATCAGCCAGGAGCTCACAACAACCTGGTATCCTTCCTATGTACCCCACTTCCTCTTCTATCTTTCGTTCTCTTACCTCTCCTATTATATGTTTCCCTTTAATGAAAACCTCAAATCCACATACAGCAGCTGAGTCATCCAAAGGAAAGACATATTTGGCTTCAATGGGGTTGTTGATTTGATTTTCATACGTCTGAAATACGACAACCTGAAATAAACACATGCATTAAGTTCAGACAAACACCAGGTCAATAGCAAGTGAAAATGCTTAGATCCAGGCTATCTGAAGGACCTATATCCCCAGAAAACCCCTTTCTGCCCCTGAGATCTCCGAGGGATCCTCCCACTGTCATGGGCATATTTAGTGAGGACTCAAGAGGGCATTTGCAGGGACTGCTCCCATTTGGATTTCTCTCCCCCTCCCCGAGGCTAGGTCGGCCCCCTTCTTACAGTCCTTCCTCTGGCAGGTGAAAACCATCCTTTCTAAACTGGCCTTTGATCCATGAATGCTTTGGCAGGATTGGAGTTTTTAGTAGAGGATGTGGCATGTTAAAAAAACACATTTTAAATTTGTTTTGATTTATTTTACCTTAATTTATTAAGATTTTAAACATATGTGTTTTTCAGTTGTTGTGCATTACCTTGTGTCCCTCACTGGGTGAAAGGTGGGCAAAACTAAAGTAAGTACAGTAAGTATCCTGCCCCTCTGTGATGTACTCTGTTTTTCTTAAGAAATTACTTCCCTCCTTGCATACTTCTCTTCTTATAGTCATCCTCTTATAGCCAGCATGTTGCAAGGTAGTGCAACAACCTAAACAACTTTCTTGTTCACGAGAGAATTTCTATAACAAAGCCTGATACAGTCAACCCTCGACTTACAAACGTCCCTAGATACGAACTCTTCGATTTATGAATGGCTCCGTTGGCAAAAATTGGCATTGACTTGCTAATGGAGCTCGATCTACGAACGAGGTCGAGGCTCCGTTTGCAAGTCAATGCCATTTTTTGCCAACGGAGCCGTTCGTAAATGGCTCACTGCAAAAAGGCAGGGAGAAAGGACTGGAAATTCGAATCTCCCACCCTTTCTCTCTACCTTTTTGGCTTCTGAGGTTTCAAAGGACTTTCTCTGATCTCGGAGGGAAAGCCCTTTGAGAGCTCCGAAGGCAAAAAGGCAGGGAGAAAGGGTGGGAAATTCTAATTCCCAGCCCTTTCTCTCTGCCTTTTTGCCTTTGGGGCTGTCAAAGGGCTTTCCCCCCCCCAACACGGAAGCAAGGCCTTTGAGAGATCTCCGAAGGAGCTGATCACGGTGGCAGGGACCCCCAGGAAGGTCTCCCATGGTGGCGGGCAAGCCCTGGGAGACCTGCCTGGGGGTCCCCGCTACCGCAATTGGCACCGTCGGAGGTTTCAAAGGGCTTCCCCCCCCCCCGACATCAGAGGAAAGCTGTTTGAAATCTCCAAAACCAAAAAGGCAGGGAGAAAGGACAGGAAATTGGAATTTCTAGCCCTTTCCCCCTACCTTTTTGCCTTTTGAAATGCTGGAATGGATTAATTCCGTTCCCATGCATTTCAATGGGAAATGGTACTTCGATTTACAAACTTTTCAATGTACGAACGTCATTCTAAAACGGATTAAGTTCGTCAGTCGAGGTACCACTATAACTTTTAACCTGAAGCTGCTTTCTTCACTCCTTAATCACAGACCTGTACAGAACCCAACACTAATCCCTTTATCATGCACACTTTCTTCCCTTTAGTGTTATCATTAAATTAGTGTTGTAATTAAATTGCAATTCATAAGATAATGCTAAAATAAATCTCTTAGTTTTGGAAGTGTCATGAGACTTCATTGTTTCCTTTTTGTTAAACAAAACAGACTAATAACACTAAAACTAAACTGAAAATGGTTACATATTTTACCTCTACTCAGTATTTGGATTTTATTTTTTACATTCCAATTATTTTGGTTTTAACTAAAGGGAAAACCAAGTCTACAAAATATTCAGCATATCTAGGACAGAAAAACAACCACTTGCATTACCTCTGCTACAAAGTCTATTATTCTTCCCTTAATATGAATATCTTTAAGAGGAATTGGATTTCCAGATTCGTCCAGAAGACCAGCGGTTATATTATTCAGCAGATCCTGGCTTGGCATTTTATAGTCTAAATAGGAAATGTTGAACAAGAAAAAAAACTGCAATGATTTGATGGGTTTCCATCGTTTCCAACCTTTTAAAACATCTAAAATGACCACATTCATTACACCTCATGGCTCAAACAGTATTCTGAGTGGAAAGCATATAGCTTATCTGGCCCAATGGAGCAAAGTAATTTTGCTGCTTGAAAACAAGAAAAGAAACAAGAAAGAGTGACAAAACAGACACTGGAGGAAGAGAGATGTCAAGATGTGAAATTCTGAATGAATAAAGTGCTGAAACAATTAAAGGAAGTGTAGTAAATGCAATACTGAAGATGTACATTGTGCTTTAATCACAGTTTACTAAAAGTCGCTGCAAATCAATCTTCTAGTTCTCCAGCCAAGTTTGAAAGAACGGTCAATGTAAAATAACACTGCCTGATGATGAAACTCTCTCATAATAACCTAACAGTAGAATGTAAAAGTAAATAACTGATGAAAAAACGTGAACACAGGAGAGAACTAAAAGGTTATTGAAATGATTGCTAGTATTTTGCAAAACATCGCAATGTGTTAACATGACCAGCAGGTGGTGTGTGCTGATCCAGTAAAGTATTTTGCCAGTAATTTATTCCTTAGGAAACTGATGCCTAATACATCTCACTTGTCTAGCAGATGCAAACCCATTAGTCAAAATAAGGACTTTTATCTGCCATGAAAGCTTCTTGCCAGACCTGTACTTAACAGGAGCTATATTTTGCCACCTCATTAAAAGCAATTGAGATTTACATTAACATTTTTCAACTGTTTGCAGAGTTCAGTAAGCTACTCTGTCAACAAAAGTCAGTTGTTTATGGTTGAAGGAAAATGGAAATATTTGAAAGAAATATAAATATAGGGAGGCAAAAGACACATGCATGCAACACAACACATCACACTATGCCACACCACACACATTAGATAGCAACAACACTGATGTCAGACACTCAACATCAAAGAATAGAAACATGTAGCAACACAGCTTGCAGCACCTCAGAACACCTGAGAACACGGATTTTTCTCCACAGTTTCAAATCGATTTCGCTGGGCAAACACCTAGAATGTTTTTCTGTGTGTCCTTTAATGTCCTTACAGGCTAAAGATTGCTCAAACATATAATGCTTTTTACTTTTAAATCAGTACTTCCCAACGTTGGGTCCCCAAATGTTCTTAGACTACAACTTCCAGAAATCCTGGCCAGCACAGCTAGTAGTGAAGGCTTCTGGGAGTTGTAGTCCAGGAACACTTATGGACTCAAGGTTGAGAACCATTGTTTTAAATGATGTATTTCAGAGATGTATTCTCAGCCTTTTCATATTATAATATGCCTTTTTATTACCTATGAACTCCTGCATTTTAAAAATGTAATTAAAGTTTATTTTTGGTATTTTATTGTACCTTTCATGCTCCGGTATTTTGGACTGCACTTAACTTGACAAAGAAATAGATCTAACATCCATTATTTTAATGTTGTCTCACCTTCAGGATGCAACTCATGGTTGAGGGAAGGCACAGAATCTTCAGATTCAGTCCAAATTATAGGATTGAACTCTTTTCTTTCATCATTTGCAAGGCAAAACCTAACCACATATTTGATTTTAACCTGGCTTGTTTTGTATACCACAAATTCATCACCCTTGAGGGAAAAAGATAATAGCAGACAAACATTAGGATCCTTGCAAGAGTAATAATCAAATATATGTGCTGACCTTTTCTCGTCACTCAAGTAGTTGATTGGAAGCTGATAGTAGCAAAATGTGATCTATCGAAATATTCAGAGTGGGCATGTAACCAAAATAACATGTCAAATGGAACCAAATATGAAGGACAAAGTCTTCAGCTGTTGAAAAAGCAGTTTTTTTTAAAAGTATACTTTAAAAACCACTCAACAAGCTGCAGCCAAATAAGTCTGTGGCTCTCCTCAGCAGCAATACTTCAGAAGTATGTAATTATCAACAGTTTTTTAGAACTGAGAGCCAGATAGAAAGAGATCTTTATGTATGGCTAAATTCATAAAGAATTCATAAAGAAGGTCCCAGACTGATTTGACCGTGTTGGGCAGTTTTTAAAGTATAATAATCTCATTTTTTTTCAATATCCCAAGTTTTTGTCTCTCCTTCATATTCCATTCCCCCGCAAGGGCCTGAATCTGGAGAGTCCATAGGGCTATCACAACCAACAGAATTTGACAGCTATCTCATTCATTAAATGATATAACTCCCTCTCAGTAGCAATTTTCTTTCATCAATATAATTGCTTCTTTTACTAAAAATCACATCAAGCCATCCCTTCCCCAATGAGGCACCCTCCAGCATATCCAACTGTTGCAGCCCAGCACATCTCAAAGGCACCATGTGGGGGAATGTTGCTTTGAGAACTCAAAAAACTGAGAGGATGTTCAGAAATATATCAAAGAAATAACTGGCCATTTACAACGAGTTTTGGACTGGGATGAGCTCAGCACAGACACCTAGATGTTGTTAGGACTCCAACTTTTCTCAGCCCTAGCCAGAACAGCCATGGCCAGGAATGATGGGTGCTGCAGTACAACAGTATATGGAAAGCCTCACTCAGCCAGTTCCTGCTTTACAGAAGGAACTGCTACAAAAATTCTGCAACTTATGTTAGCATGACCATTCACATGCTGCACGTAGGTCAGAACTGAGAGGCAAAGGTTTTGTCTGAAGAACACCAACAAAACTTCATGTGAACCACAGCCAACGACTTTCAGCTGCTTTCAGCTGCTATTCTACACCAGCAAACTTCCGATGTTTCTTCAAACAGCATATTTAACCAGAACTGGTACCTCAAAAGCTGAATATCTGCCATCTTTCTTACAGACTCCATGCACACTGTCATAGCCTGGTGGTGGTGCAGTTAATGAATAGTCTGTTTCATATGTATCCCAACAAGTTCCAAGTGCTACATCACAAATCACCAGCAGCCGAGTTCCATCTCTTTGACTGGGCTGAGAGTACTTCAAGCTTGTACTATTAACAAAGAAGAAGGTTACATCCATACAAATATTTCAAATATTTTCCACAGCTCTTGCTTTAATTTAATTTCTCATTCTTCTTTATGAACAAAATCATAAATACATGACATAAAAACCAATGAATTAAGTATATAGTTAAAACACAACAATTAAAAGGCCTAAATCCAAGTGCAAACCCCATTTAGACCAGACCTACTAAATCAACTGCTGAATGATAAGTCAGCACTTAGTATGTAAATTCAATGGATTCAATGCATTGATTTTAGTTGGGACTAGCAACAGTATTTAGGCTACAGACAGTGCCCAACAACTTACAGCCCCCTCAACAGTAGTCCAGCTGACATGCCAAACAACAGCCTGAACAAAAATGTCCTTGAGTCTTGCCAAAGAGCATCATGGGAACTAACCTAACCTCTCCTGGTATGGCATTTAAACACGTCAGCCATGGAGAAAGGAATGTTGGTACTCAAAGGTGACACATCTCAGTTCAAAGCCTTCAGATTTCATTCTACATTCTAGGCTCCAGATTGAGAGGAAAACACAGTTGGTTCCTAAAGGCTACTGTCGAAATTCATCCACCCTAGTTAACTTTTCTTGTTCAAAAACATCCCTTGCTTTGACTGTGGCCCTCAAAATACTGAAATATTTGGTATCCTGTAGGGATAATGAGGCACATTTGGAGCACCCATGTCTGCTGTTCATCTGTCTTGTCCCAACACAGTTGGATCCAAAGTTAAATGAAAGGAACTGAACCCTCCCAATTTCTCTTCTTCACCTCCCTGCTACTCCAGGCGCTAGGAGAAAAGCATCTTGTGGAGAGAGGTAAACACAGAGAGATAGACTATGAGAAGAGTTCAGCTCCGATAACTTGCATCTCCTTTGGATAAACATTAAGATGTGCCCTTTCCTGTGTGATATATGAGAAGGCAGAGAAATGAGTGCAAATCAAAGGTAAGGTAATACTTTTATTACACCACTAAAAATCACACACATAGATTAGCTTGTGACAGCTCTTCATCTGGCTGGGCACCACAGAACTACAGATAGTACAGTAAAACACAGATGTTGCAAAAAATCATGGCCAGATGTGCATGTCGTAACAGTACCCTTCAACCACTGAAAAGATCCCAAATGTAAGTTCATGCATCAAGTAAATCAGACCTTATGGAATTGCTGAAATAAATACCACTTCCCAAGTTCCCCTGATCAGTTCTTTCCAAGCCATGTACTTCAGCTGCGATCTTTGGCAAAAGGAGTCCTCTACAAAAGAAAGAGTTGCAGTGTAAAGCATTTTGGTATACATACAAACAAATACAAATAATGCCTAGCAGTTACTTTTTTGTTGTCGGGGGGAGGAAGTTGAAAACGAAGGAGGAAACCCAGGCACATTCACCATCAACAGATAAGGATCAAAAGGCTTAGAAATGACGTTCATCCCAATTCCTCAACTTAGCCTGAGCAGCGGTGATGCAAGGAGCAGCAAAGGCTGCAGAAAAGAAGAACTGACCACTAGCACAATATCCCTGCCATTTTCCCCTTCTGCCTTACAACTGTCTTGCACCTGTGCAGAGCAGAAAAGCATCTACGAAGCTTCAGCACACATAACACAATACAAGCCCTTACCGAGAAAGAATTCCAACAAAGTTGCAAGGTGATGAAGCATGAATTAAGGACTGAATGTTGCCAAGGTGGCTGTCAAAGCCTACTGCTTCTGTTTTTCTTCCAGCTTTATATATCTGCAAAACTTGTACTGGAGATTCACTGGGGAAAAAAATTCAAACAAAGAGATCACATGAATTTCATACTGTAGGCCACAGTTCCTCAACCAAAGAACAACTGAAAATATTTTCTTTCTTTTTGTTATGTGTGGTCAACTTGTTTCTAAATTACAGTAAGCTATGAATGAACAACCTCCAAAACAACTAATCATTAATTCCCTGCTCTGGTCTTGCTAACAAAAAAACATGGCTTCTTTTACCACACCAATTAATTTCAAGGAGGGCCTTCCTCTTTTCGTATTGCTTTCCATTTTTCATTTTCCAGTGAGTCTTGTATTTTGATTATTATGTCCCAAGTGTAACAGCTCCATCTGAATTATTTTAGCTTCTAGAGAGAATTCGGGATTGATCTGATCTTGAGCCCACTAACTGGTCTTTCTGGCAGTTTATAGATATCATGAACTGCCAGATATCATGAAGTTCTCCTCCAACACTCCATGTGAGATATGCCCATCTTTTTTTGCCAGCTTTCTTCATTGTCCAGCTTTCACAACCATGTGCAGTAGTCAAGAATACCATTGTACGGGTATTTTAAAACAAAATTAGCCTTACAACAGCAAAATACAAGAGTTGGTGCTGTGTGCGGTAAAGTTCTAAAGACTGGCCAGGATAATAAAACATTTTAATGGGCATAACAGGTAAATGAAGTAAAAATAAAATTACACAACTCTTTCAATGAAGCTTGTGCATTCAAGTTCTGTGTATGCAGATGGTGACTTTAAAAATAAAAAGGGCCATAAGAGTGATGATGAGTTATCAGAGAAGGGACAGTGGTTTGAATTCATTTGTTATGTTTCTTGGCTTTTCTAATAGTGTCAAATCCCAATCATGTTCATAGCAGCTCTCCCGATTAAGATTTTGGTCCTTCTAAATTTCAGCAATTTCTAGTTTGGCAGATAGTAAGAGGAACATAATTAAATTCCTATGATTGCTAATCAGAACAAAGTGCCTAAACCTTTTGGTAGCACTGAGGTGTTGCAGCCTGTAAAGATATTAATCATCTGCTGATGTGGTCCAATCCATTAATGCTATCAATTTATCACAGCGGACTTACTTACTTACTTACTTACTTACTTACTTACTTACTTACTTACTTACTTACTTACTTACTTACTTACTTACTTACTTTTAATTTATATGCCGCCCACACTACCCAAAGGTCTCTGGGCGTCTTGAAGACTTTAAGCTATATCATATTCTTGAAACTTTTTCACTATGAGTGATTGGTGAAATTTATTAGGAATAAGACAATATTATCCTCAAAATAATTCATGTCATTTCCCCACTATCTTAACATCTTGCAATTCTAGATTAGTTCTGGGTTTGTTTGTTTTTTCCAACTAGTGGTACGGATCAGTGGTTTTTGGTCTCTTTCCAAAAAGAAGAAGGAGAACAGTCTTGCTTTGTCTACAAACCACATATCACTATTAAAACTCACCTGGTATTTTGGTTTATTAGCTGTTTAACTTTGCAAAATTCTTCCGAATTTGAATCAAGAGCATCTATCCTGCATCTCAAAGCCCGATACTTGGAAGAGGACGATGGCTTAGGAGCTGACATGCTTGTTTCACTAACATTCAACATGTCCCTGATCAACTAAAAAATAATACAGAAATAAGAATTGTTGTATATCTAAAACCAAGCTATGGTCTTTTATCTTTTTATTCAAATATACATAGTCTAGACTTATAAAAAATCATTATCATTTCCCCAAACTATTACATGTTATACAGGCAACTCTTTAAAATTAAAACCTGTAATTTAAACAATTATTCTGAGGTTGCAGCTACCCACTTCTCCACTTAGAAAACCATTTTTGGATATCAACATTTCGAACTGAAGAGCAACTATTGCACTCCAATTGAGCTACCACATGTTGTTGTTGATGAAACCACAAAGTGTAATGTCTCAACAAGGTCTGTGTGACATGCAATCAACACCACCATCTGAGAAGTGAAATTTATCAAAACAGAACCAAGCTTACAACTACTATGATACTCGTACCATCATCCATTACTTTGGTTACATATGGGAGGCACTGAAAATAAGAATTAAAACTAAAAAATTTACCTGACAGAGATCTTGCTTGTTAGACAAAAGCTTCTTGGTAACTTTGTAATCCAGGCCCCTTTTGTGGGGTATAATTTCATAGAACTCTGACATAATTACAGGTATGTTGTTTGCCTTTTCCATATTATCCAGTGCTTTTTTTAACCGAAAAAGAACGCCTTCTGCTCTACTAACCTTTAATGGAAAGGTGATTATCAAAAGTTATTACCTTTTATTTGTTAATTGCATTCATATCACACTTTTCCTTCAATGACCTTCTGGGAGAGTTCATGGCTTTCCCCTGAATTTTATCCTCCCAACAGTGCTTATGAGGTACATCAGACTAAGAAAGATCAACTGGCCCAAAGTTAGATGGTGAATTTCATGGCTTGTTGGACCTACATTTCCAAGTCTAAAACCAACATTCCAAGCACTACTCCACACTGGCTCTCGAAACACTGAATTACTGAGAGAATAAGAGAGAAACATGAGAAGGTATCAGAAAGGTGAAAAGCAATTAAGTCTAGAAATGCAAAGGTTGAGATGCCACCTTCTCCAAAATGCAGACTGTTACAAATATTTCTATTTTCTTCCTTTGTCCTTTCATATCTATTATTAAGCCCTCTTCCCATCTTCTGAATTTCAAATGTGTGAAAAAAGGTTGACACTGCATTTTTGATAAATTTCAGAGGAACAGAGTGTTTACAAGGAGCTAACACTCTCAGGTAGAATTGACTTACATCATTGAGGCTTATGCTCATTACTGGTTTAGCTAACAAATCATTCAAGAGTCCAAGTGCTTCGGCCCAGATCAGTTCCACAAATTTAGCAACTTCTTCAGACAAAGTTTGGGAATTGATGGCTTCAGCCGTCAATATCTGGAAGATACAACAATTCAATTAAACCAATAGGAAAAAAAGCAGTCAGTGCTAAACAACCGTTTAAAGTAACAGTTAACACTGCAGATCTGGCTAGTTCCAATAATTAAAACTTCTCTTCAATAAATGGATTATTAATACAAAGTTCTCAAAGGGGTAGTTCTTTAAGGAGTAATTTCTTCTAGGAAAACATCAAGGAATCTTGTGGTACCTTTAAAGCTAAAAAATTTATTAACAATTGGTGGATTTCAATCCAGTCAGTGAATCAAATGAAATTTATGGTAATTTAAGAAAATTTATCCTATAAGAAATCGGAGTCTTAATCACATGGCTCTTTGGCATCTCAATACTACATTTATAACCATTAAAAAATTCAGATACTTGCATCTTCCCTTCCCAATCACATGCATCTGAGGAGGAACCAAAGGTCTGGATCACATACTGTAGACTTAAATGGTGTCAACTCAACCAGCAGGTTTTCCTCTCTTCTGCCACCTGCACACATGGCTACAAATTCTAGTGCCCTAAACAGATTGTTGCAAATTGAAAAGAGGCAGTTGCTGCTACCAGACTGGAACAGCCAACATTTTGGTGTCATCATATCTGAGAGAAAGGCACTATCAAGATTTGTGTTTAAGGAAGCCTCACACTTCAGAATCTCAAAACTAAGATATATTATTAAAGAAAAGAAAAGAGTCAAAATCAGACCGACCTCTTGCAATTTTGCTGATGCAAAATATTCTGCTTCTGGTGGAAAGTCTTTCCTTAACTGAAAATCCTCCTCCTCCAGTTCTTCTATGCAAAGCATGTAGCTTCTTCGAGCTTCTTCAGATGTCTTTGCTGGTATAAATCGCTTCTGGTCCTGAGAGAGAGTGTGTCAGAATGCAACCAAAAGAGGGAGAAAGCATACACGTGCTGTCTAACTAGAAGTATCCTTTTATCAAGAAAATAACAAATCTGAAGTCTGTGTTATCTTGTGGCTATGCTGTGGCTAAGACAATTTCCCCCCAATTTGGTGCCTCTAGATGTAGAGGGCTATAACTCTTATCCACAAGCCACCTTGGAGATGGAATGATGGAGTCCGAGAGGAGTTCAACATAAGCAGAGGAGACAAGATGGAGCAAGGCTAGGTTGAGATTTTGAAAGACACATAATAGTATGCCAAACACGGAATTGTTATAGCTCCCTGACAGAAAATACTGGAACATGTCATTCTGCGATAGGTCTACAGACCTATTACAACAACAAGCACCACACTGATGACCCACATAGAAAGCCAGAAAAAAACCACTCAAGTTGGAATATGGAGCAAAGAAAATTGAGAGTAACTGTTCAGAGTGGGGCAGACACTGAAGCAACCTTACAACAACAAAAAAGTTGTGGGCTGGAAGTCATAGTTAGAATAGGCCCATTCCAATCACTGGAATCTAAGGCAGTGTTGACTCTTTAAATCCCCATTGATTCAATGGGCTTACTCTAGTGCGATTTATTATACTAAGCAACAGGATTTTGGCCAGGGATTGATAAGCCCAAGGTGTATAGACTTGAATACATAGGCCTTCTCACAACTAGTGCAAAGCTGGTAGTTCAGAACTGCTGTGTCCAGTTGGCCAATCTAGTGAAGGGTGTGCAACCTCTGAGCCTCCAGATGTTGGTGAATTGAACTCCATCAGCCAGAGCCAGATAAGAGATGGGAACTGTAATCCAATGATATCTGGAGGACTACAAGGTGCCCATGTATGATATATGTAATACTGAGTTAGAGGAAGTACTGTAATGACTTAGTGCAATACTTCTTATCTTCCTATATATTTTTTGATATATGTAATACTGAGTTAGAGGAAGTAATGACTTAGTGCAAGACTTCTTATCTTCCTATATATTTTTAAAATGTATACCTTATTGTGCTGTAGTGCATAGAGTGATGGACTAGGACTCTGAAGAACAGGGTTCAAATCCCTGCTTAGCCATGGAAACTGACAAGGGGAGTGGAACTTGAAACATGTCTTAAATATTTCACTCACCTTGAAAGCCCTATTTTTCTTTAAATTGTTTCTGACTTGACAGCACAAAATACACACACACAAATTGTACCAGTATCTGCTTCCCAGGCTTGGAATTCTATTGATTATTCACACACATATAAGAGTAATATGGAAATTACTGTGACTTACTGATGAGGTACCAGTTGGATGTTGGTTGTATGCCTGGTTATGCCCCAGTCATGTCCATGGCACCTCATTAATAAACCATAATTAGCTGATGCAACTTCTGCATTTTCTCTTACACCTAACTTACTAACAAACAATATTCTGACCTAAGTGTTTTACAACACTTAAAGCAAACAATGCAAGTTTTAAAAAATCCACGAAAGTAAAACATTGTTATACAAGACATAAATCTGTCATATCTCCGGACATCCAAATTGAATAAATACATTAAGGCAGGATCATGACAACTTACCTGGCGCCCACTGATCACGCTATAATGTGCACATATGCGGAAGGGGTAATCACATTGCTGTTGAAAGCACTGGAGCTCAACAACAACATACTCAACTTGTGCCATAATCTGCAAAGAAAACATGATACTTAACTACATTTCCATTTTGGTGGCAACAGCAGCAGCAGTAAAACTGATGGCCACCGTTGATACGATCACATACCCTGTTGGCTACTTAGAGTTAAATCAGTTCTCCAGCCCTGGAAGTTACCATTTCCTATGCCAAATTATGGTTCATTGACTATTAAAGCCTACCAAGGACTCTGTAACTGAAAATCCTGGGCTAAACCATTATCCTTGATATGCTAGCTTTCTATAGCCATGGAGATTTTCTTGCTTTTTGGGAATCATTCAAATATACAGCTACCACTCCCAGTCTGCTGCCTGACTGGTACAGTCCGGAATAAATGTTACTACTCCATTCTGTTAATTCTGCTGATTGCCTAAATTGTTTTCAAGGGAGATTCCTCTTCAAATGTAAGGAAACCAGCCGACCTACTAATAATGTGCCTAGGTGATGTGTGGACACACACACCAATGATGTTAAAATTTTGCACAAACTGAAAAGAAAGATGATTACCTTCTCCAGGATGTCATACTTTGCAACTTCAAAGTTGTCAGGAAAATAAGGAATATGTTCAGAATTATCTGTAAACCATCTGGAACAAAAAAAAATATATATGAAAAGACCCTTACTGAATATAAGCAAGGGATGCTGCATGAAAATCACAACCTTAAGATCACAACAAAGATCATAAAAATAAGGGTAGCCATGTTTGTCCATGAAATAAAACAAAATCCAAAGTCCACAAGTTGGCAATATCTTTATTTGGACTAACTAAAATTCCATGTGAACTTCTGAGTTCTTCACAACACTTCATCACAGCTACAAAGGTGGCATAGAAAAGTGGGAGGGAGGGGAGGTATGGAATGCCCCTGGGGTCTGCAGTTAACTCATACCAATCTCCCCCCAAAAAGAGATTGCAGAAATAATGACAGATGTGCAGACATCATATTACACCTAGCAATGCATGGGATGAGAGCAGCACCACCACGTCCCTTCCTTACAATTTACTTTGTCGCGATTACAAATAATTTTAGAATCCTTGCCAGGGGTACAGTTGTTTCGTTTGAATGTTATGACAGGGCCTCAAATTTTTATCAGGATTGTAGCATTTAGGGGCAGGTTTCACTCTTCCACTTTAGCTACAATCCTAACAATAATCATAGTTGTTGAAGGGATAGCCATGTTAGTCTGTGTAAGCATCATAGGTGAAAACAAAGTAAAAATGAAAAAGACAAAAACGTGGTGGCACCTTAAAGACTAAATTTTATTTTTTCTTAATGTGAACTTTTGTGGACAAGTCCACTTTATCAGACATGTTTTCTTTGCAACAATGTTTCCCTGTGCATCATGATCTTACTGAATATGTCACCTACATCTGATATTAATTTTATTACAAACCCTGACATAGTTTCTAATAACACTTTTGGAGTCAAATATCCTAAAGCCAATTTCCTTCCTCAAACAAGGAACTCAGAATGGCTCACAACACGATTAACAAGCAGACACAAACAATAAAATTAAAAGTCATAATACAAAATACATGTAAACAAATTATTATATTAGAATACATTTGAATTAAAAGCTATTTAAAAATCACATTTAAAAAAAAAAACATTTTTGTTCTCTATACAGCTCCAAGTCACATAAATGACGTTTTGTATCCTTGCAACAGGTCTACTGTCACTGAGCCAGCTTCACAGCTATGCAAATATCTGTGGTAAAATCTGCACAACCTGAGTAAAATTTACATGCACTATCTGCTCAAATGAACAATGCACATTGATTGAGTCTATCATCAACACTACAGGAAATAGTGGCCTGAATCCATTTGGTAGTTGCAAGCAGAACAGACTCAATGGGCAAACTCCTATTGCTTAGCATAGTAAATTGCACTGCAGTAGGCTCACTGAATGAACAGGGATTTAGTGAGTCAACTCCTCACTAAGTTCCATTAATTTAAATGGGTCCACTATAACTGTGGTTTACTATGTTAAAATAAGTTGCAACTTATTTAGATCAAGCAACAGGATTTTGGCCAATCTATCTGTCAAAGTTTAAAATCATAACAACATATTACTAAAAAAATATACATGCTGAAGTAGGTTGTAATTAAAGGATGACCATTTGAGTCAATGGAACCTAAAGAGACATTGAATCAACAAATCCCCATTGATTCTGCGGGCCTACTCTAGTACAATTTACTATGCTAAACAACGAGATTTTGCCCACTGAATTAATGGGATTTACATGTGTGTTGGCATGTAATTCAGCAACTGATTCAATATTTATCCTTTAGTTGGGACAAGCAACTGGATTTAGGATGATATTCAAAATTAATCTAACATGCCTCATGGAAAGCAGAAGAGATGAGAAACATCTTAAGCCATGTCTGCCTATTCATTCACTTCATCCTGTTCCATCTGACAAGAGGATCTCCAAGGATTCGATAAAAGTCTCTCCCATCATCTACTGTATTACCCAATTGACCAGAGGTATCAGTGGGTGCGTCTAAAATTTCCTTTGCACAAACTATGTGCTCTACCCCCAAGTACATCCTTTCCCTAGGTTCGCAAGAGAGAACTTTAAGAAATAAAACAAAATATTAAAGTTCTATAAATTACCTTAGTCCATCCATGCTGCTGTTCTCATTGAACTCCCTCTTGTCACTGGACTCCTTCTTCTTCGTAGCATCTTGTTCCTCCTGAACATCATGGTCATATCCACAAACAAAGCTCTCTTCCGCACCTATCACCATGACAATAGTTATTTCACCTAAACCTGCCAGCTAACTTACGAATTACTGCACTTTGCAACATCAAGAAGACTCAGAATGAAGAAAAGTTACCTTTTTAAAATAGTACCTTGCAGAATCCCCCAATCAGCATATCTAGTACCTTTCATATTCAGAATTTTTTGATAACAGACTGGATAAGGCAAATAAACTGAAACTTAATGCAGCTAAGATACAGGTGCTCCTGGTCAGTGAACACGCTTTGTGTGGGTGCCTTTGGAAAGTGTTCAGAAACTTCAGTGGGCCCAAGACACTGCAATCATTTCATTAACTAATGCTGATATTACAAAACCCCTGTCACATCAGCTCCACTGGCTTCCAATAAATTTCCAGACACAGTCTGTAAATCCCTAAACAGCTTGGGCCCAAGCTACCTCAAATACTACACCCCCTTTATGAGCCTGCCCAGGTGTTAAGCTCATCAGGGAGGCCTTCCTCTCAGTCCCACCTCCTTCACAGGTGTCTTGGGTGGACACACAGGAGAGGGCTTGCTCTCAAACTCTTGAATGTTCTCCCCGGGGAGGCCAGCATGGTCCTCTCTCTGTCATTCGTCTGCAAGCAGGAACAGACCTTTCTCCTCAGGCAGGATTTCCCTCAGTGTTGACAGGATTTCCCTCAGTGTTTGCCTGCCTGAGAGCAGGGGTTTAAAATGAAATTGTTTTTGCCCTGCTGCTTTTAAATCTGTTGTTTTTAAATATATATTTTAGTACTGTTTTTATTTACTGTTTTAATACATTTTAATTCTTTTTTAGTATTTTTATATTACAGTTTTTAGTACTGTTTTTATTTACTGTTTTTAATACATTTTAATTCTTTTTTAGTGTTTTTATATTACAGTTTTTAATACTGTTTCTTTTTATTTATTTATTTGATATCCCGCCCATCTGGCCTAAAGGCCCACTCTAGGTGGCTTTTAACAATGTAAAAGTACTGTTTTTATTTACTGTTTTTAATACATTTTAATTCTTTTTTAGTATTTTTATATTACAGTTTTTAATACTGTTTCTTTTTATTTATTTATTTGATATCCCGCCCATCTGGCCTAAAGGACCACTCTAGGTGGCTTTTAACAATGTAAGCTGCCTTGAGTCCTTCTAATTAGTTAGTTAGGTAGGTGGGTAGGTAGGTAGAAAGAAATTTGTGGAGTGCCCAATATATTTTGTTGCCTGAGTCAAAATCAGATATGGTGCCCTCTCCCATTTCACATACAGATGCCAACCAGCGTCACAGGTGGAGTTTTGCTTTCACACAGAAGAATATGACAATGCCCTCTTTTTCATTTGGGGTCAGCCAGCTAGCATAATGGCTGCAGAGAAAGTTGTAGCAATTCTTTCCTCAACAGGTGAACAGCCAAGCTTGTTCAGGAGAAAAAGCTGGGTGTGTGGTGCTACCAGTGCTGTCCCTGTCCCCCACATGGGGTGTTGGTGATTGCCTCACTTTACCAAGTGGTAAAGTGAGGTAAACTTACCCTGCAGAATTTGCAGGGAAATTTTCATTTAGAGATATTAAATAACTTTGTACCTCTTGAGCCTAACCCACTCCATGTCCAAAGAGGGCATTACTGTACTTATATATTTAAGCAATATAAAATGAGCCCCATGAAAGAACATCATTACACACAAAGAAAAACAGAAGTCAGAATATGCCTTAATCCAGGGGACATAAGTATCACTGAATATTTATGTGTCCTAAATTCATATTTTCAGAATATGACTGGGGTAGCCAGAAGTTGGGGGTTGATTACAGGCCCTCTCACATCACTCATAATCTCAACCAACAAGTCAACTAGTCAACAAGAGTGTCCCTTACCAGTGAGGCAAGTCAATGACTTTGTTTGTTCATATCTTTTAGTCTGCAAAAGTTTTCCTTCTCTGACTGAGTTCCATATGAAATCAGCACCTACAATTGGCAGCTGATACTTCTGGACAGCTTTCAGATGGGTTGAGAAGAGACCATCAGCATCATCAGTAACAACATGAGTGCACTAAAAATGAAATTAGGATCCAGTTTAAAAAGTGCAAGGGACGTGGTGGTGCTGTGGGTTAAACCGCTGAAGCCTCTGTGCTGCAAAGTCAGAAGACCTGCAGTCGTAAGATCGAATCCACGTGACGGAGTGAGCCCCCGTCGCTTGTCCCAGCTCCCGCCAACCTAGCAGTTCGAAAGCATGCAAAATGCAAAAATGCGAGTAGATAAATAGGTACCACCTCAGTGGGAAGGTAAATGGCATTCCGTGTCTAGTCACACTGGCCATGTGACCAAGGAGGATTATCTGCGGACAAACACTAGCTCTATGGGTTAGAAATGGAGATAAGCACCGCCCCCTAGAGTCGGACACACCTGGACAAATTGTCAAAGGGAATCTTTACCTTTAAAAAGTGCAGAATTGCTATACTAAGCAAAATCTCATATGACCATGAAGAAAAGCTTTTTCCTTAATGGGATGTTGTTTTATTTCCCATCCAAATAACTGGGAGTCCATAAAATTGGAGAAAACAGGATTCAGAGAAAATAGTTGGTCTGAGCCCAGTCCTTCTCAATTTTTTCTTTTGGTAGCATCCTACCAAAATTTGGTAATTTTTATATGTGCGTATATGTGAGCGGAGGATCAGCATATGTGTGTAGTTTGAAGAATGCATGTCAGAAAAGCAGGTCAACTCCATAGCTATTAATTTCAGAGTCACAGGGTTGGGGCCTCTTGTTTCCCTTCAGCCAGGCAACATTAAAGCACAACCAGTGGAAAGGTAGTGCCTGCACACTGTTCTCAAACACTAGGGCGTTCCTTAGCATGCATTAACAATTAAGGATGTACCATCTGAATGTTTCTGAACTCTCAGAATTTTCCATTCTGGGACTTCCACCTGACAGATTCATACCTAGAGATAACTCCATGTGGCCAACTGGAAGTATTATAGTAGTATCAATGCCATACCAAGATTTCTTCTGAATTAACTAAGCTGTATGCATGTAACATGAAACTATGGCTCGACTTAGTGAGAACACACCCTAAGGAATCGTCAAAACCACAACCTACTTGTTCAGATAAAGTGACAAACTAGGGTTTGCTGAAAATAAGTACTGGAAGCTGGAGCTTTTGGTAGTCAAAGGGAAGAAGGAAGCTGAAGGGAACTGTATGACGGTGAGCCCCCCTTAGGATTCATTTGAGAAATGACAAACCTTAGTTTAGCATTGTATTATGGAATAAGCCCCAGTTTCGTGATGCACAAGAGACATAGCCCACAACATTGTAAAGCCTGTCTACCTAACAATTGCTAATAAAATTATTTTTCTGCCTAGTTAACAAAACTTCATTCCTTTCTCCAGTCCACCTTTTTCCTTGCTTTTTGTTTTCTCTGTAAAAATATATACCGAACTTGCTGTGTCTATACTACTGATTAAACTTACCTCTTGATTTAACACAAATGTAATCTGTCCGCCATTTTCTTTAATGCAGCTCTTCAGTTTCTTCTTTTCCAGACATTGTAATTTTTTCACTCTCAGATAAAACACACAGTTTGCAAAAATTGCCACTGTCATCCTGCAAAAGCATATCTTAATGTCAGGACAGTTCCAAGTTCTTTATATACTATGTTCCCCCCCTCTAAATTCTTAAAAATACTGTCTTAAAAATTCCAGTAATAACTTTCATTTTTTTAAACCAATTACTACCAATTCAAATATATATAAACATAACATAAAAAGAAACAAAAATGCACATAACTTACTACATTCAATAAATGTAAGTAAAATTATTGTACCCATCAGTGGAACCAAGAGAAATTAATTTTTTTCACACTTTTGATCATGGTTATATTTTTTATATCAGCTGTGCTGTACATCTGAGTTGAAATGTCTTCATACTTTCTAGGTTCCAAGGTAGAAATAAGAGATATTCTATTCTATTTGGATAACATCCAGCTGGACACTAACTTAAGCCTTGACCAATCCACATAAATGTAACTCCCCAAAGGCTGGTTCACACAATTCAAACTTTACAGTGGCTGTGGTAAATTATGGTTACCCAAGATTTTTGGTGTTAAAAGAACATAACCAGAGGTGACCTGAAGTCATTTCCAGTTTTGAATAATGGGTATTGTTTGACATTAATTACTGTAGAGAGACACTGCAACCTATTTATAAAAGGAAAAAACACAACTTTTGCAGGTCACTAGGGCTCATGTTTCATACTCTTGCTTAATATTATTGTGTATTTGTTTAGGCACCTTCAACAGATAAACAGATACCTAAAGAATTTTCAAATAGGCATTGCTTACCTTATACTGAGGGGCAAAACCAGACTTCCAGTGTTGGCAGAGCATTCCTAAATTCTTATTATATTGGGAAAACAGCGGGATTTGGAAAATTACTTTTTTGGACTATGATTCCCAGAATCAACTAGCTAACATGGTAACTGGCACAACAGCTTGTCTACCTAACTAACTACCTAACTAACTACCTGTTGTAACTGGCACAACAGCTTGTATATTTTATATTTTATATTTTATATTTGTATATTTTAGCTTGTATATACCCAATGTGTGCTCAGTCCAGGAAGGGAAGTCATACTAGAACATTATTATTTTTAGCTATATTTTTATCCTGTTTTTTTCTCACAATGGTTTTCCATGGTTCTCCTGAAAGGCTGAGTGATGGTGCCTAGCCCAAAGTCATCCAGTGAGTTTCACAGTTCAGTGGGGATCAGAACCCAGATGTCTTGAATTTGAGTCCAGCACTTCTGCCACTAAACCACGTTGGTCATCATACAATTGGAGCCACTAGGGGATTTCCTCACAATTAAATTCCAGTTTCCAGATAAGAATATGGTTTGGTGTGGCCTAATAGGGCATGCATAACAGTTGGCTTTTTATTCATTCTGCTACTCTGGGAATATTTCAGATCAACAAGCATTTGCAAAAACAGTTGGCGGGAATTACTGTGGATCTTCAAAAGGGGAGACAGTCCCTGTCATGGAGGGAGTAGACCAAGACTGCCCCAGGTAAGGACCCAGAAAAAAAGTTTTGTGTTTGAATTCTGATTCATAGTGCTGTACAAACAAGGAAGTGAGAAATAGTAATCAACTTCAATTTACAATCCCAGCTTTTTAAATAAGATAGCACTGTCAACATTTACCTTAATTTCTAGCACGATCATATATACATTTTTATAATATACCATGGACTGCAACATAAAGAGATGTGTGTGTTATAGAAATCATGAAAGGGGATTCAGGCTGTCGTTCTTTTTCTTTAACAAAAACAGTTGTACACAATCACAGAACACCTTAGGTGCATGGAATTCTTCTACGGTTTGTTAACAACAACAACTGGGTGGAGGCAAAAATTCAACCGGGGAGGGGATCATGCCATACTGTACTTTTCATTCTAGCCAGAGCTGCCAACAATCCTGTCCAGTGGTCTTCTGCCTTTTCTACCTGATTTACAGCAATTGTGAAAGCTCTGCCGGAGAAATGCGCCCGTCACGCAGCTAGGAAAGGCACAGGAGCACTGCGCAAGGGCGAAAGTTGGCAAGCCTAGTCAAGACCAGATAGTAGAAGAGACTCCATTTACAACACCTTTAATCCTAATCTGACCTTTCTACAAATAAAGAGGGAGGGCGACGCAAAAAAACGAACGACCTCCGTACTTGCCTGTCGGCAACGCAACCCCAGACCCGCAGCAGCAACAGCACTTCCTGCTCTCTTAGCTGAGGGGAGGCTCCTAACGGAACAAAAAGGAAAACAAAGCAGTGGGAAACAACCTTCCAGTCATGATTTGCATTGGGTCCTGGCTGAGAACCAAAGGGGTAAGGGCGCCCTCTCGTGGACCGCATGAAATACGTCTCTGTTATCCGAGTCTCCATTTGTGGGTAGAAGTTGCGGGTGACTTTTTTTTCTGCATAGGCATATGACATAGGTTGATATTTCCGGGTAGAATAGCAGAGTTTTAATTCTTTAAAAAATTCAAAAGGTTAGGACAATACCTTTATTGCTGTTGTTATGCAGTGCCAAGTCACTTCCAATTTATGACTTTATTGATTTGTTGTGCAAGCAAGCTTAAGGGTTTATGTATATATACAGTATATATATATATAAACCCTGCCATGTGTGGATCAAGAAATGCTGGATGGAGAAAAGGAAGAAGCACTAGAGATCGTCTTGCAAACATATGTTGGCTACTGGAGTGTACTAGGGAATTTCAAAGGACAATCACGCTGTGATTTTTAGATTATAATATAAAACATGCTGCTTATAAACCTCCCCACCGTGCTTAAAACACCCAATGGATGGTTTACAATTTAATTCTGCAGGCTAGACATTGCCCACAGTGAGCTGAATACTCATTTTACCAACCTTAGAAGGATGGAAGGCTGAGTGAACCTCTAGACAGGAACATGGGATTGAACCTGGCTCGTGAGCGGAGTTTTGGCTGTTTAACCACTGCATTATGAAGCTTTTTAAGACCATTTTTTAGACAACATTTCAGCTACGTACTGTATATGTTAGTTCTGACCCTGAATATGTTGGAAAGCCTCTGCTGCCCTTGTTAAATAAAGGCTTGCCAGTCATTCGACAACCTCACCTCTACCATTGCCCTGTTTTGAAACACAAGGTTCCTTTTTTGGTTGACACAGAAACGTGTCAAACCCCATAGTTGTGATAAAATGTAGCTTACACATAGTTAAGTCAATTACAGCCAAATCAACAGTATTACTGTATTTAGTGATTTGAAACATACAGTATATTGTCCTCAGTTCATAGTCCTACTTAGAAAGTGTTAAATGTTCTCACTTTAGCTCAGGGGTGGGCAATTAATTTCTATAGGGGGGCCACATGAAAAATCTGAACTGTGTTTCGGGGGCAGAACCAACTTTATTTTAAAATAAAATGAAACAGTGATGTTATGATTGTTTTTATTTTAAACTTGTTAAGCTTCACAAATACTAAAGAGGTTTTTTGCGGTATGTTAAAGATAAGCAACTGATCAACTTTAGACAAAAAGCTATACAGTAAATGGTTTTGATGTTCAAAACTGTCCGCAGGTTGGACAGGAGCGGCTCACGGGCCGTATGTGGCCCTCAGGCCGCACTTTGCCCAGGTCTGCTTTAGCTGCAGATGGTGCTGTAATTGGTTCTTCATGTTCTGTCTACACACAGGTCTACAGAATAATTGCATAACTTTAATGCAGACAAACAACAGACTGAAATTGACAAATATTTTCTATACCTTGATTAATACATGTGTTCTAGAGATCAAATTAAACCTGAAATCTCCCTCGAAGCAAAAATGACTGAACAGGCTATTGTGCTTTGTGCACATAATGAGAAGACAAGAGCCAGTGGGAAAGAAAGAGGAAGACAAAACAAGAGATGATTGACACAATAAAAGAAGCCACAATCTTGAGTCTGCTAGAGCTGAACAGGGCTGTCAATTACGGGACGTTTTTGAGAATACTAATTAATTTAGTCTGCATAAATTGGAAGTGACTTGGCAGTGTCTTGCAGACTCATGACTTCCTTTACAGAATCAATCTATCATAGTTTTATGAGGTGAACTGAAATGTAAGGGTACAAGAAAGGTGTATTATTTTGAAATTTTGAGGTGAGACCTTCCAGAACATAAGCCATCCTTAGATGCCACATCTAACTAGCTATCCAGCCAACAGACAAATATAAATCAGCATCATGCTCTGAATGGTTTCAGTAATGTGCTTAGTCTCCTATTACCAAAAGTAAAAAGTATTCTTTAACTCCTCAAGGCTGTCTGTACGCACTGGGTTTCTAAAGGTCACTCTGTCACTCAGCTATAACCACCTGAACAGCTCACAGAATAAATGTAAAATAGCAATCACACCCAGAATTTACAGATCAGCAAGTTTCATTTTTGAAAATACAGTATGACATATTGTTTATATTCCACAATTGACCATTTCTGTATACAGTGGTGCCCCACTTAATGATTACCCCGCTCCATGACGAAATAGCTTTACGACGATGTTTTTGCGATCGCAAAATGATGTTTAAATAGGAAAAGTATTTGATGGCTTTCTTTGTTCAGGATGGAGGCATCCCAAAGGCTAGATCACCAATTGAATCCCTATATAACTACTAAAATGAAGTATATTCGCATCTTGACACACACCTGTTAAAGTGACATCTTGCCTTTTAAAGTTTATTTTTAATCCCACAGTAATCTGTGGACCAAATGTAACTGATAATCGAGGCAAGTTGCTATCATTCAAAACCCCAGCCAGAAAGTAACCATAATTCTTTAGGGGAGTATTTTTATTTAACATAAGAAAAATCTTGAACAGTAAAATGAAAGGCCATGTCAAATCCTTATGGAAAATAAGCGACACAGAATAATAAATACCCTGAGAACAAGGGGGAAAGCATTAAAACTTCCACTGTGATCTTTTAAAAAATGTTTATTAGTAATATACTTTAAATATGTTTGGTTATTAATTTGAGCTTTAACAACAATTAATGTAATGTGAAATATAATTATTCTTAGGACCCTACACAGGAACCATTTTTGCCATAAGGCGCAAGCACAACAACGGGGCATCCTTCCTTGGACTAGAAAGACGGGTAAGGTCGCTGCCCCGCCCTTTAACTGCCGCTGCTTTAGGACGACAAACGCAACTGCGCCTGTGTAACGTCTTTATCTTTTCCCATCGCTCGCTGGGAATTGTAGTTGATCGTGTGACAGTTGCCTCCTTTTCAAGATCAAGGCCTCTTGCAGATAGTGAACTACAACTCCCAGAAGGCACCGCGCCCGTCATTGTTCAGCCTGTGGCGCTGAGCGGAGGGAGGATGGCGGCAGGTTTGTAAAGGGTCTGATGGGCGTTTTTCTGCGGGGAAGCTAAAAGAAGTAGGTGAGTGGCCCGTTGTCAGGGTTGGAGGGTACTTAAGGGGCTGCAGCTTTTAGCATTTCGCGCGACTTTTTATGTTCCTTGGGGTTTTATTGTGAAGTGAGCTCCACAGTAATTGTGGAGTTACTGCATCTCGTGACAGATGCAGCCACTCCATAATTCTTTTAATACCAGAGCCTACTTTTACCTTTGAATCAGATCAGGAAGCCCACTTTAACGGATGGCTAACCCTGCATATTTGCATTTTGATCTATTTTTCTCTTCTCATACATGCCTGTTGTCTCCCTATATGTTTGCTTTAGGTGTTTTTACTTTGAAACAGAAAAGAGTGAAATAGTGAAAATACTGTCACAAAGCCTGCTTACATAGGAGAGGTAAAAGTTGGTTGTGGGTCCCATCACATCAGTTTAAGATTAAATTTTATGTGCGTGTGCAAAATCTATTTATCCAGATTTATGGTAGCATGAGTTTTGATGAGAGGGTCACATAGTTCACTTTTTCAGAGGTATCAGTTTTGGGACTTTGGCTGCATAAATATAGGTGTTGTTGATTGTGGGATATAGATAGTGTACAGACAGCAAATTTAAGAGCAAAATGAGTAGTGATAGTTACAGCCATTCATGTTAATGTTATTTATTTATTTATTTAACTTAAATGCCGCCCACAACACCTGAAGGTCTCTGGGTGGCTTACAGCATTTAAAATACAATAAAAAGGCAAAACAATTAAAGTGCAGTTAAAATATAAACTCTAAAAATTGCCATCGGACCCACAGCTGATATTATTTCAATTAAAAGCCTTCTGGAACAGAAAGGTTTTGACCTGGCACCGAAATGTCATCAGCGTTGGCGCCAGACAAATCTCAGTCGGGAGGGCGTTCCATAGTCTGGGGGCAGCTGCCGAAAAGGCCCTTTTTCTACAAGCCCTCCCTCTTATCTCCTTAAGGGATGGCTCTTTCAAAAGGGCTCCATGGTTAGATCTTAACTACCAGGTAGGTTCATATGGAAGGAGGTGGTCCTTCAGGTATTTTTGCCTGTTTTTTCTATCATGAAATTAAACTTGAATTGATTTGCAAATAAAAATAGTAAACAGCAACAAAATGATAAAATAATCCTATTAAAATAAAATTGCTGTGTAGGTGAAGATTTTTAAAGAAAACATATTTATTCCTGTGATTATTCAAAAAAGGCCATTACTTCAGGTGTCAACTGACAAAGCAAAGGCATATTTGATGTTAGTATTCAGGGAGGAGGAGTATGAATCCAGCCTTCAAACACCTGCAGACACCTTCCTTTCACTCACTTGGACAATGCTGAGGCCTCCTTCTAGGACTTTATTTCCTCCTGCAGTGCCTCTTGGGGATAGTAGTCCCTTTATGTTTTGTATAGGATGCCTCTCAGAACATTGTAGTAACTTCCTACCAGGAAATACTGCAGCAGGAAATGAAGGCCTAGAAGATTTTGCCTTTGTCTAGAAAGCAAAATGAAGTTGTTTGCAGATACACATTTGTGGTCTGGAACTTTCAGAATTCTGCCTAGGCAATTCTGGGAGAATTCTGAGAGTTAAGAGTCCAAAACAAACAGGCCCACCCCAAAACAAGCAGCACACTCCTACTAACTACCTCTAATGGATCAAATTAGTTACAGTACTTATTTACCATCTCTATTGCGCAAGGAATAATGGATGGTGTGTCTTGATTTTGTTTAATTGTCCAGGTCCTGACAATCAGGTAGCAGATCGCTGAAGCTTTCCCAGCAATAACAGAGGACTTGAGGTTGGATTGTCATTTTCCTGATGGCTACTTCTGCAGATTTTAATTGGGAAGAAAACTTGGTAGCACACTGGATGTCAAATGCGTCTCGTGCTGGAGTCATACTAAACCCCATGTTCTCAAACTTGAAAATCCCTAGAGCAAACAGCTTGGACAATGCCTCGTCAACTCTTGCACTTAATTTGCACCACAGTTCGAGAAGGACTTCCTTAAGTGAAGACTCTCTATGCAGTGAGCAAGCCTTGGGGCCTAACAAGGCTTGTATGGAAATGGTGAACTCATCTAAAACTCTATTTCCAAATTCATTGGTTAAGAAGGATCTTATACTTATGCCTAAGGATGTTCTGGTTCCACGGCAGCAAACGATCTTATACTTATGCCTAAGGATGTTCTGTTTCCACGAACAGACCAGCAAATTGATGTTGAATGTGATAAATCGGACTTAGATGAAGAACATTGCACCGATCTACTTCTGCAAAAGCTTGAGCAGGTTACAAAATATTGCTTGTACATTCTCTATAGAGCTAGAATAGTGCACTAGTTAGAGTGTTGGTCTGATACGTAGGAGATCCTGGTTCAAATCTCTGCTGATCCATTACACTCCATGTGTGTTCTTGGGCTTGTCAGTTGTTTTCACCTCATCTATTTCAGAGTTATTGCAAGAATAAAGTTGGGGTGGGGGAAATTTAACGGGGGGAAAAGCAGTATGGTTATATAACAAACACACATAACCATTATCTTTGTGAAGTTACTGAACTTTTCTTGAAAATGGTAGGAAAACTGGTATGCTTCTTAGCCATTAATGAATTTGCGCTTGAGCTTTCTTGCTGGATTTCATAATAGTACTGAAATGAAGAGTAGTTGTAACCTTGGAAGGATCTCTCAGATGATGGCTTGCCTGTTTTAAGCCTCGCTAGTAATTTGGTTAAAAGGTAAAGCGCAGATTTGATTTTTGGAAGTTCATAGTCTAGACAAAAACATGAGCATGAGTTGTTGTCAACTGTAGATGTATTAGCTTTTGGAGCATTTAATGCATTATTCTTTATAATAATATTGTGTATATTTTCCTTATATAACCTCCTGTATAATCAATTGTTTTGTTTTCCCTTTTTTGTTGTTTGCTGTGTATTTTTTTAAAAAACTCTGCAAAAACCAAATTATCCTCTTGATGTAGAACAACCGGTAGTTATCAGACTCACCCTTCAGTCAAATACAGGCCGTTGAGTGTACAGTATTTAGAATCTACTGGTTTTTTTTTCACTGTATGATGTCAATTTCTGTAAGTTCTAAGAATCTCCTTGACTTCTTATGCTCAAAAGCTGAAAGGATGGCAGCAGCACAAGCAAGAGCAGCTGAAAAGGCAACAAATGGATGAAATCCAAAGGCTGATGGAGGAGCAACACAAACTACTCTCCATGGTCTCTGAGCAAGAAGCACACACTGGTAAGTCAGCATGAAAGGTATGTACCATTAATAATGTACACTATAGTTAAAATTGGCTAAGAATCATTTCATTGCTTGCTTTTTCTTGTTTTTGGAGAGTGTTAAACTTCACTAGACTCATTCAGTTAAATATATCTTTTTCATCAGGAAGTCCTCTATCAAGTATGGAAGAATACTAGGGACTGCTTTCTGTTTTGCAGTTTCCCAGTATGGCTCTCTGTTTGGAAATACCTATACAATTTTGAAAAGCAGTACTTATAGGAGTGCTACACTTGCACATAGGAAAGAGTCTCGTAGCAAGAGCCCACATGGGTGCTGCTAAAGCATGCAGAAATCGTAGAAATTGGCTCTTTCAGGTTGCATTGAAACAATCAAACCACGTGCTGTCCACAGACCACATGGCGCCAATCCCTGATCTAAGGAAAGAAGAATCTGTTTCTTTTGGTGTTTGTTATATCACACTTTCTGGGGAAACCTAATGTTGTGTGTGTGTTTTTTTTTTAATTTTATAGGAGAAAATATCGAGTCTCCAGAGAAAAATATCCTAGAACATGCAGATGGAGACAGTGGTTGTGAAGGCGCAGGGAATGTAGAGTCTTCTGAAAGTCTGACTGGAGCAAAGTGCTTGGATAGGTTTAATGCAGAGGAAAGGTGAGGAGATTTTGCCAGCAGAACGGCCCTACATATGTATGCACATGCAGGCATTCTAGCGTACAATTTTATATCTGTCCACTCTGAAGTAAGTTCAATTAAGTGTGGTATGACTTAACTCCAATGTATTATTTATTTATTTATTTATTT